GACTGTTTCAGGTAAGGACATACTTGAGGATCTGATGAAGAGGTGCTGCATATGGGTTGATCTGATTAGCAGAGCACCAGGAGGAGAACCTTTGCCATTTACAGAGGTAAGTAGCTTGGGTGGTGTCCCTTCTACTGTGTATCAAGACCTCTTTGACCTGTGCCAAGCAAAGATCTTTGGATGTGCAGAACCAGCTAGGAACTAGGTGGTTAGGTACAGGATCTGGGGCTGAGGGTGTAGGAGGGTGCCATGGTCCTGGGTCAGCAATTCTCGTAGATTGGGAAGAACAATTGGCAGATACAGAGACATTCGGTGGAGAGAAGGGAACCACGGCTGGTGGGCCCAGGAGGGCGCTACAAGGATCAGCCTGGCTCCATCTGTGTTAATTTTCTCAAGGACCCCAGGTATAAGTACGATAGGGGGAAATGCATACAGAAGAGCCCTTCCCCAGTTGAGGAGAAAAGCATCCCCTGGGGATCCCCAACCGATACCTGCCCTGGAGCAATAATATTGGCATATCATATTTTTGTTCGTGGCAAAGTGGTCTATCAGAAGGAAACCCCAGTGATGGAAAATACACTGGAATATGTCGCTGCGCCGTTCCCACTCATGATCCGGTGCGAGAAGTCTGCTCAGGGAATCCGCGGCAGCATTGTTGTCACCAGGTAAGTATGATGCTATTAAAGTGGTCTTGTTGTGAATGCACCAGTTCCAGAGGTGCACTGCCTCTGCACAAAGGGATCGAGACCAAGTACCACTTTGGCGATTTATATAGTACATTGTGGTGATATTGTCAGTGAGTATGCTGACAGTGGAGTCGCAGATGTGGTTCTGGAAGTGTTTGCAGGCATTGAAGACTGCCCTGAGCTCCAGAAAATTTATGTGGAGAGCTGCCTCTAAGGATGACCATCAGCTTTGTACAGACATGCCGTTCATGGGGGCACCTGGCCAATGAAGGAGGCGTCTGTGGTAATGTGGGCTGAAGGTTGAGGCCGGTGAAATGGGACTCCTACCAGGAGATTGTGTGAGTCAGTCCACCATATGAGGAATGTGCGAACATCGGCTAAAGGAGTCACTATTTTGTGGACGTGATGTTTTGTCAAAGTATACAGGGATGCTATCCAGTGTTGAAGACAGCAGAAGTGTAGTTGTGCGCGGTGGACAACATAGGTTGTGGCCACCATATGGACCATTAGTTGTAGGCATGTGAGTATTGGAACAGTAGGGCTGGTGATTAGTACAGCAACCGGGTCTTGGATGGCTTGGAACCTTTGGTTGGGTAAGTAAATTTGTCCTGTAGTGGAATTGAGACAAGTACCTATGAACGCCAAAGTCTGAAAAAGTTTGAGCATGGATTTCAGGTTGTTGATAATTAGACAAAGGAAATTGAAAGTTTGGCTACTGCTATCATATGTTGTCTCTCCTTTGAAGAGTGGCCTTTTATAAGGTAAAAGTTGAGGTAGGGAAAATTATAACAGCCCGTCGATGCAAGTATGCTGCCACCACCCCCAGGGTCTTTGAGAATACCCTGGGAGTGGAGGAAAGGCCAAAGGAAAGCACCCAATACTGAAAATACTCCCTGCCTACTGTAAAGCGAAGAAATCACCTGTTGGCAGGATGAATGGTGAAGTAGAAGTAGGTATCTTGAAGGTCGAGGGCTGCAAACCAATCCCCATCATCTAACACCAATATTATTGAGGCAAGATTTGCCATTTTGAACTGTTGTTTTCTGAGATAATGGTTGAGCTTTCGAAAATCAAACATGGATCTCCACCCTCCTGTTTTCTTTTGGGTGAGAAAATAGCGGGAGTAGAACCCTTTTCCCTTGAATTTATCTGGTATTTTCTCTACAGCTCCGATGGAGAAGAGATGATGGACCTCTTGTTTTAGAAAGTTCTCGTGAGAAGGGTCCCTGAAGAGGGACGGGGTATATGGGGTGGTTGGAGGCAGAGAAAGGAAGGGGATGGTGTAGCTGGATGATATGATCTCCAGAACCCAATGTGATGGTGGACTATTGATGGAAAACAGTCTTAGACGGTGGCGAAATATGGGTGAGGCATGATCGTTCAGACTGGCATCAGGAAGGATTGCAAGTCCTCAACCGAGAAATCAAATCTGCTGTTTGTTGGATGGTTGATTGGGGGCACAGTTGGTCTGATTGCTCCTTCTTTGGGCTCTCTGCCTTGTTCATGGCTGGTCGAAACCACATTGCTGTTGTCTTTGGTAAGGCATGTAATGCTTGCGTCGGTATGGAGGCGTATACATACCAAGGATACAAAAAGTGGTACGTGAATCTTTGCTCGAATGGAGGACCACGTCCATTCTCTCGGCAAAGAGCTTCTGTTTGTCGAATGGGAGGTCCTCAACCTTATTCTGCAGTTTTCTTGGAACTCACGCCATTTGCAACCAGGAAGCCCTTCTCATCACAACTGCAGTAGCTGTCAAACAGACGGCTGTATCCGAGACGTCTAACGCAATCTGGAGACCTGTCCTGGCAAAAGCATAGCCTTCCTGGACAATGGATTTTAGGATCAGTCTCTTGGAGTCTGGCAGGTGTTCCATAGGCATTGTGAGGTTTGTGTAATTGTCAAAATTGTGATTCGACAAGAGTGCAGCATAGTTGGCAATACAGAGTAATAGTGTTGCTGAAGAGTACACCCTTCTCCTGAATAGGTCCATTCTTTTGCTGTCCCTTTCAGTTGCAGCATTCTTATACTGAGAGGCCTTGGACCTGTGCTGAGCAGTGTCTATAACCAAAGAATTAGGCTGGGGATGAGTAAATAAAAAGTCCATCCCTTTCAATGGGACAAAGTATTTCTTGTCTGCCCTTTTGTTTGTTGGTGGAGCAGAGGCTGGGGTCTGCCAAATCTCCTCTGCTACCTCCATAATTGCCTGATCTATTGGCAGTGCTGCTTTAGCCCGGTGAGGGGGCTGAAGATTTTAAGGAGACGGTATTGCTTGTCCTGCACCTCCGCCAATTGGACCTCCTGACTTGGCGCAACTCTGTTAAACAAGTCTTGAAACTGTTTAAGATCATCAGGGGGCGATATATCACCGGAATTACAGCTTTGTCAGGAGAGGATGACAATTGGTCCATGGGGGAAATGTCAGACTAGTCTACCGCCGCATCTGATAATTGCTCCTTCTCAGGTTCCGAGTGATGTGTTTGGGGTGAGGAGCTCCGCGGTGGCAACAGCAGATGATGTTCCCATGGCATCATGGAGGCAGGTGGATATCTGGGAGACCTATAGCAACATGGGGACCATCTCCTAGAATGTGACTGCTAGTGATGATAATAGCTAGAGCAGTAAGGTGTATGGTCGCGATGATAACTGTGGTGATGATGCGATCGCTGAGGTAAGGAAGGTCTTGAAGAGAATGCACTTCTGTGCTCTTCCCAATATGCAACATGTGGAGACAACATTGGTGAATGAGGAAGTATTACCTATCCTCTATATGAGCGAGGCAGGGAGAGAGATAGGTGCCTCGTGTGGTGATGAGAATTTCTCCATGGTGCCGCAGGGAACAGAGATGGAGATTTCCCTTGTGGCAAGTATGAAAATGCCCCATGTTCCGTTTGAAGGATGTGCGGTTCTGGTGACCTTGGTGCCAGCGAAGAAGGTGCTGGGGAGAACATTGGAGAAACAGAACTAGGGCTTGGGCTCCAACGCCTGTTGGTTTTTGCAGACTCTTTCCTCGATGCCGAAAAAGCATCACTCTTCTCCAGTGCTGATGCTCAATAGCCATGGGTGCCGGCAGTGCCACCGGAGTCAGTGTCCATGCCGGAGCTTTGGAAGCTGGGGCTGCTGGTGCCGATCTCAGTACCGTCGGTGTTCAAGGTGTCGTCTTTTTCCCTTTGCGACTAGAACTATCTTTAAGTGTGAAGAGGCAGTACTGGACCTTCCGGGCTTATCTCCTACGCTCACCCTGCTCATAGGGATCGGCGGAAGGGGATGTGATGGTGAAGCCCATGTCTTTTTCACCAGAGCTGACCCTGGAGAGGACGCTTTCCATTTTTGCATGGTAGCAGGGTCTGCGTGAGTTGCAGATGCCGAGTCCATTGGCTGGAGCACCTTGTCAAAAAGAATCATCTGGAGGCACATTTCCCTATCGCTCCAGGCTCTTGCTATTAACTTCAAGCAGTGAGGGCATTTCTGAGGCACATGAACCTCACCCAAGCAGCGAATACATGAAGAATGGCTGTCGGAGACCGGCATGGGCTTGTGACTAGTATCACACTTCTTAAATCCCGGAGAACCTGGTATCGTTGATTTGGTTTTAACTCTGGGGTTTTTTTGAAACTTGAAAGGGCCAGTAGCAACAAAGAATTTTTTTTTAAAACAAACTACAAACTACAACTATTAACTATAAGCTGTAAGTAGGAAACAAACTGACTAATATTAACTACAACAACTAACTAATAACTCTCTTTGTTTTTCTGACTAGAAGAATTGAAGAGAGGAGCTTGCTGTCTGCGACTGAGGGCAGTTATGAAGGAACTGGTGGAAGCCAGACCCTGCGCATGTGCAAAATGGTGCGAATGCCACGAGACGCTGGTGCTAACCACTGCTGCTCAAAACTCCGATCTGCAGCGCAGGGACGAACCTAACACCTACAGTGGAGCACCCACAAGGACATCACTTGAAGAAGAACAATATTTGAAATGCTCTTAGTAGTTTATGACTGTACTGATACACCCTATATATGCCTATACCTAGGCAAGGCTTATCAGCTTTCTGCATAACAAAGTGTTAGTGTTACACAATTTTACTGTATTGGCACAAAGAAATAAGTAGATAAAACATAAAAATATGCTTATACTTAGCAGCATTACCAACTCTTCCATTGCTTACTAGTCTCTTAGAAGATATTTAGGGGTAAATTAGAGCTAAATAGCAGCACAGAATACTGAGCGCAAGAACTTTCAGCTGAAAACAAACATTATGGGACCATGGGAAAATTGGCCATGCCCACGATAAGTGGACATCTGGCTACAACAGTCATGCCAGACCATGGACGTTGCCAGACCAGAGAATGCTGGATTAGAGAGGTTCAACCTGTACTGCTTAATCCTGCAAAGTGATGAGTACTCTTGCTCTAATTCAGAAAAGTACTTAGGCATATGCTTATGTCTATGAATAGGAATAGTCCTGTTGATGAGAGTTGTGACTGGATTAAATTTAAGCAAATGATAATGTACTTTGTTGAATTAGGAAGAGAGTGCCCACCACTTCCTTGCTTACAGGAATAGCTGACATCAGATTTTAACCATTTTTCTTCAAAACATTGAAGTGTATGCAAAAAAAGGAAAAAATAGATTATTAGAATTGACATCATATTTTTCAAGTGCATACTCAGTTTTACCAAATTCAGTTAAACAGTTTATCTACTATTGTATGTTGAAAAATGTACATTGCTTGTAAAACAATGAACAATATTATGTAAAAGATTCACCAGAAATTCAGTGAAGTGGAATATTCTATTTTAGCAGTTAATCTGTAATGCATGAAAATAATAACTCTCTCTGTAAGAAGAAACTATTTCACAGCAATAATTAAGATATTCAGTGTATATGTGCATGATGATTTCTCTGTATCCAGAGTCTAAAATTAATGAAGATCACTGAACTGTACTTTACCAAGGCTTTATAAAAATGACTATAAGTAGGAGTATGTATACTACTCTGGTGTCACGTCTTCAATCTTCAGATCATCTGCACAAAAAGAAGAAATCATACATGAATTGCTTAAGGACAATAATATGTGCAAGTATAAATGAAAAAAGTAGTAACTGATTTGTGATACATAATCTTCCTGAATACCAACAAGAGCAGAGAAAGCTGGGAATAAGAGCAGTCACTCATGCGTATCTACTGATTGAACTCTCAAAATTGAGCAATATCAACTCTTTAGTAGTATACTACATATCATCAGTAATAAATGACAAAAATAATTAAAATACCTCCCATTTATTTCTGAAGTTTTTCTACATGTATTTTAATGCCAGAAATGGCAGATCTGAAAAACCCACTATTGGACTTAATTTGTGGGGAACTTGAAAATGGCTGTCAGTTATGAAAACTGACATTACAAATATCTCATTTCCCTTTTTATACTTCTTTTCACTCTGTCCTGTAGAACATCAGCAGTTCATGAGCCATATCCACTTGCTCCAGCTACCTGACCAAGACCTAATCCTGGTCAAAGACTCATGTGACAGCAGAGAGATGTGAATAGAGGCTTTTCACTATGAAAAAACAGATCCACAAAAGTTTGGGCAGCAAATCTCTGCTACTAACCCACTTTCTGTCAAAGCATTTGATAAACAAAACAGGTTGGTAAATAACTATGTGAATTTAAACTTTACATATTTTAAAGTGTATATAATTGAATATTATTCAACAATTAATTTTAAAAAATCAATACATCAGATGATACCATGCTGATATATTAAAATATTAAGACATACGTAATACATTTAATAATGTAATTCTATAGACTTTAAATGCTTCACTATGTGATGTTCTACATGGGAAAATTATTTACCAGTACTTGTTTTGTTATGATCTCCTCTCTTCCCTATTCTGCAAGACACACACTTCAAATTATGCTAGAATGGCTCCACTTTCCTATCAGGAGGAAGCAACTAAGTGAAATTGACAGTTTCAACAGCCCTACTTAAGATAATGGTTCATCTGCAAATTTTTCCACTACACTGCTTACAACTTTTTCCAGATCATTTATGACTATGTTAAATAGCATTGGTCCCAGTTCAAAACCCTGGAGGAGACAATTATTTACCTCCTTCCATTCTGAAAAATGACCATTGATTACTACCCTTTGTTTCCCCTCATTTATTCCTGTCTTTGTTTCCAGTTACAGATCCATGAGAGCACCAACTCTCTTGTCCCATGACTGCTTAACAGCCTTTTCAGTGATGGACCTTATCAAAGGCTTTCTGAAAGACCAAGTACACTTTATCAACTGGATCACTCTTGCCACATGTTTGTTGGACCCCTTAAAGAATTCTGAAAAACTGATGTGGAACAATATTTCTTTACAAAAAGCTATGTGTCTCTTAGCCAACAAATCATGCTCATCTTTGTGTCTGAATTCTGTTCTTATTTGCTTCCTGGCTCATCATCTCTCGTCCTTCTCTGACCTCTTCTCTCAGTTATCCATATGCCTATCATTATCACATTTCTTTTGAGAAGAAAAGAGAAGAAAGATAATGCAGAGTTGCTTCTCCATGCTCCCAGAATGAGGTTGTAAAAATAAGACTTGAGTGTGGTGAGCAAGATTTTAACTCTGCAGGTTCAGTTACTGACAGTCCTGCTTACCTCCTTGTTCCTGATAGGCTGTTATCACCCCACCTAACGCAAGGCATCTTTTTTACAGAATGGGGGAAACAGAACAATATGCAATCAAAGCAATCATAATAATCAGAGCTCAAAAATGCTACTCTAATAAGGAGGTGAGATGGTGCTAAATTGAGATAGTTTGATTATATCAAGTATTATATGCGCTAATAAAAAGGGTACTGGATTCCAAATTTGGAAGTAATTGGGTATATCATGACAATAAGTTAGTAAACAATGAGCTCTAATATAGTAAATTAAAGAGAATTCTGTTAAATTATCATATAATCAAACTATCTTAATTTATCACAAACTCAGTAATATTACCAGTGTTTTACCAATCCAATGTAACTTTTTAGCTCGCATTGATGCATAGCTATGTGCCAAGTTGATTTATTAGAACACAAATTCTTTTTTTAAAAAAGGAAGAGTGACTCACACAGCTATTAGGTTAAACGTCTACATGTGGATTTGTTTTAATTATCAAAGAACAAATGTTTTACATTTGCATAAAAGAGATTAGAAATATGTGGACACACCAAGTTTTATAGTAATATATATTCTCTATTTAATTGCGCACTAGGTGATGTGTATAAGTCTCTCTTTACTGAACATAAACAACAACAAAAACGTAGAACATAAATATGTATAGTTAGTATATGTTTATGCCACATGCATTTTGTCAACATAAGGGTTAAAGTGCTGTAAGCAATTCTGATTTTCTGATATTTAAATTACAATATATTTTTATTTTATTTATTTTTTAAGTATGGAGCTTATATCAGAGAAACAACTCAACAGACATATCTTGGGATTCATGTGAATTAACATGAGAATATCGGTCCTCCAGAAACAGAAATGAAGTTCAAAATGAAAAAAAGAAATAACAGAATTTTCTATCATAAAAAATGTTCTATCTTTTTCTAGCATTATTTTCCAGTTAACAGTATTAATTACAATCAATACTATAAAAATAATAAGATTCCGGGACTGTTACTCTGAACTGATAGAAACTGCTACAAGCAGGATTGAGGCTCTTTTTTTTCAGAATGTAAGCAGACTGAATCCTCACTGGGTTTTGCAATCTGTTACCATTCAATGTTTAAATTCTTAGCCATTTTGACTTTATGAATAATACCCCATATGACAGCATGAGCTTTCAGCTCCTCCTGTTTCATAAGACTATTAATTTGGGGGGCAATTTCATCAAAGCAAGAATTTTGAAAAACAATTTGCATGTGTTATTTTTGGAATAGCTTTATGCTTTATAAAAGTACTTTCTTGCCCCACCACATAACTGTAGTGCATTAGTGAATACCTTTGGTGAGAATTTGCTTCTTTTGTTCATCTTAATCAAAAAGCCTTTTCTAAATTATTGTTAAAAGCCTCACCTCCTCTGGTCTGCAATGGTATGCTGGGAATGTCAGCCTCTGTGGATAGTTCATTGTTCATGCTGATGCAATCAAATAGTTCATCCAAAAAAGAAGGTTTTTTCAATGTTTTTGCAGTGAGTGCTCTTGACATAAAGTAACCTTCAGTATTACTCTTATTCTCCATCTCCTGTGAACTTTCTAGGTCACCAGGTTCTTCTATTTGGGGCAGAGAACCCTTTGATAAATGACTAATGGCCAGTGCTTTACTTAGATAGTAGCCAGAGATTTCACTCTCTGCACTTTCACATACACTTTTATTTTCGATTCCAGCCCTCTCCTGAGCTGTTAACATCCTCATGCTACCAGCTTCATCTAACTGTTTGGAAAGAGTGGAGCTGGAGAGCAGGGTGGAGTCTTGAGCTGTGTAACAAGAGAGATTTATTCCATCAGAAAGAGATTCCTGTGATTCTGGCATGGTAACATTACTTATTGTTCTTTGGAACTGCTTGCATTCTTCCAGAAGAGTCACAAGCTGCCCTTCAGAGAGACAAGGTAGTTCTTCAGGCTGGAAAAAATAAGCAAGAATTTCTTCTTATCAAATTATAACTATTAATAAAACTACACCCCCCCAAAAGAGTTTAGAAGACACAAAAGAATGAATAGGATTCTTGAACATTAATGCTAGTGGTCTTGTGGCTATACTGAGTTTAAATATGCTTGTATGTAAATAAGATAAGTGGGTGAGCATAGTAAATAAACTACATGTAAACCTTTCCACAGAGTACAACACAGTTAGATCAGATTCTGCAAGTTATTATTCTAAGAGGGGTGGGCGAGATTCTGTGGCCTGCACTGTGCGGGGGGTCAGACTAGATGATCATAATGGTCCCTTCTGACCTTAAAGTCTATGAGTCTAAGTTAGCGGCCTGATGTACACCAGGCACTTAATGGAAAGGCCTTTCATTTCACCTACAGTCTCACACAAGACTTCATTACTTTCTATTTATTAAAAAAAACTCCTTTCCGGTAGGGTGACAGAGTGACGACATTATGTTCTTCCCTCTCCCCCCCCGGCCTCCAGCCTCAACAGAGTCCCCAGAAGGGGAAGAAGTGGCCATGACTCAGGGTTCTTCTTTCCCCCGGGGTGCCCCATGGACTCCCCACTGGCCCCTGGCACTTCTGCATGACAGCCACAGGGCGGCAGCAACAGCTCCTCATTGCGCTGGGGGACCCAACACTCCAAGGACCAGGGGGGAACCTCTGCCTCCAGCTACTTGAGCCACCACCTACTTGGAGCTCCAACCTCGAACCTTGTCTCTGCCTCCTGCTCCACAAGATTAGCGCACCAGAGCTGTCTTCTTGCGAGGTGGGGGTGGAGGAGAAAACCCCAAGGCTCTGCGCTGGATTCAGCTCACAGAGAAGTGTGCACACTGCTGAGCACAGAGGGCCCCTGGCCCTCCCCATAGCAGCATATGCACTTCTCCGTGATCCGAATCCAATGTGAAGCCTCAGGGTTTTCTCTCCCCCCATCCCCACAGGAAGCCAGTGCTGGCACACTAATCTTGTGGGATGGGGAGAGGGGGAAGTTCCAGGCTGAAGAGCCAGGCACGCGGCAGCCCCAGTGTGCCATCCCCGCTACACCCTGGCTCAGCCCCGGCCTTCCTCCTGTAACCAGAGGGACGCTGAGAGGCTGGGGGGCAGGCTGGGGCTGGCTGCAGCTGTGGGGGAGGGAATCCGGAGAGCCAGTGCTGGCACACTAATCTTGTGGGATGGGGAGAGGGGGAAGTTCCAGGCTGAAGAGCCAGGCACGCGGCAGCCCCAGTGTGCCATCCCCGCTACACCCTGGCTCAGCCCCGGCCTTCCTCCTGTAACCAGAGGGACGCTGAGAGGCTGGGGGGCAGGCTGGGGCTGGCTGCAGCTGTGGGGGAGGGAATCCGGAGGCTAGGGCTCGCTGCGATGGTGGGAGTGGGAGGCACGAGAGGCTGGGACTGGCTGCAGCAGGGGAGGAAAATGTGGGGGCAAGAGGCTGGGGAGAGGGATGAGGGTGTCAGGAAGAGGCCAGGGCTGGCTGCAGT